GGATTTCATCTGGAGGCTGCAGCTGATGTGTTCTACAGCATAAGAACACACCCAGGAATTTATGAAACATTATATTTCCTTTCAGAGGATTCATGTCCAAGTCCAGGCCTTGGAGAAACTAGTCCGGGCTTTCATTTCCAGTTATATTCAGTGGCGATTTTCAGATAAAAATACTAAACCTACTGAATCCAACCCAGTGGCAGGCATTAGGACTGACTACAAATAGCCAATCTTCTCACTGTATGTAGGTCATATAGAGACAACAGGATTAAATTGAGACTGTTTCATAACTCTTTAAGAAATATGTGCGTATAATCAGGAAACTGTACATTAATTATTAAAAGTACTCAATGCAGAAAAATGTCCCCTGTGACTGTTATACTATTATATATTATATTATTGTTACATCATTGTTATTACTCATACGCTTTAATGTGAAAGCAGGATTTTTGTAGCTCGTTGTGATGGAGCTCATTTTAAACTACACTTACCCAGAGCCCAAATGCTTGTTTTGTCCAACCACTAGTACAAAACTGAATACTATTAAAAGTTATATAAATTGAATAAAATAAAACATAAAGCAGCAAATCCTCATGAGAAGCTGGAAATACAAAATGTTTTCTTATGAAAAATTATTTAAATGATTATTAAAATAGTTGCCAGTTAATTGATCAACTGACTTATTGTTTCAGCTGTACTTGTATAAATTGTTGGCTAGTTTAATTTATGACAGAAATCTTATTTTATAGGCTCTTCGTATGTTTGTGAGCAAAAATCTTAATTTGTAAAGTAGAAAATGTTCTGCACTGAGCATTAAATACTCATCATTGACCTCATATCCTGTATTTATATCTCTGTTCTTAACATTTTATTTTCTTCAAAAGGGTTTATATTATTTCAATTTGCCTTTTAATGACTTTTGCTGTTTTTCTTTGTTTTGTAATGCATTATGTAAAGCATTTTGAATTGCCTTTGTGTATTAAATGTGCTACAAACTTTGCCTTGCCTTCCTCAAGGTTAAGAGACAGCCTAGTTCACTCTGTACCTTAGTTTTGTTGACACTGAAAGCAGAAAAGCTGAGTAAGGGAGATGCAGAGGATAAAGTTGTGGTGTGATTTGACTTTTCACTTAACCCTGTTCAGTGACCGGCAGCTGTGACGTCAGTTTTTGTTCACGTTGCCGTACTGACTCCCAAAACCCTGACAGCAGATCAGAAAATGTCCTTGAGAATCTTTTATATGGACAGACTACCTATTTTATTGGAATGATTTCCACTCCAAGTCCACTCTCTTGACAGTATTACATGGTCTTTATCAGCAGCTCAAGTTCAGATGTTCAAACCATTATTCGGAGTCCTTGTCCTTCTGTGGTGCTGGATATTGTTGGCCTGCTATTGTGTATTTCAGTTCTTTCCGTATATTATCATATTTGTATTTTTAGATTTTAGAATTCATTGTTTATATGTATTTGTGATCGCAAACAATTATAAAAAAATATAGTGATTGCTCACTGAGGTAATAACATTTGTGATAAAGCACACAACTAAAGTCACATTTGACTGGATTTTCATTGAAAGAAAGCCATCTGCACTTTGTCTCCATCTTCAGGAAGAATTGGTTTGAAAATGTGATTTTTCAGATTCCCAAAGTTACCAGTAAATATATGAGACATCATATCATTTACAACAACAATAACTTTGTTATACTGTGTAACATTACATGCAATAAATAAAGAGGAGAAAGACAAGAACTTTTTGAAGTATGAGCTCTGTTTTTTGGACAACATATGATACTTAATTTAAAAAAGTGCATGAACCCACTTTGGGGGTGAAACATCTGATATTCATCATTTTAAGTGAAAGTTCATGATTTAATCATTTGAGGATTGGTCTTATGAGGTGGTCTTATTTTGCCAAACAACAACCTAAGGTATGTTCTTTCCTTTAAAGGGAACCAGATATTGTTTTACTTACGTCACAGTTTTTAGCAGCGAAACACCTCATTTTGGATTTGCCAAGAGGGAAACAAGCTGAGTTTGATTCGTGGATGTATTTTATTTTGAATTGGAAACAGAGGAAACATTTGAAATTAAATTACCCATCTGAGCAGCACTTCTGCTGTTCTGATGACTAGTCTTTCATAAATATCTTACAACTAAATATGATACTTTTGACTTCACTGTTTTGTTGGAGATTTAAGTTTTTAGAAAAGGCCTGAGGTGTGTGTGTGTGTGTGTGTGTGTGTGTGTGTGTGTGTCCGTGTGTGTGTGTGAAATCTGTCTCTCTGCACAAGGCCATCCTGCATTATTAAATCCAAGGCTGCTGCAAATGAGTCGTATTGATTCCTTTTTGACCTGTTCTTTCTTAATGGATTGATGAGCCTGTTTCAGTATTGTGCATTGTTTCCCATTTGCAAGTCTAGCATTATGTTTAGATGAGCCATAACAACACTTAGGCCATTAACATTCAGTATTTCATTCTTATTATAGATTATTTATAGCCATCTATTGTCAGTAAACTACAGCTCTTTTTTTTGGCTGCTTTTATGTACTTTTATATTAACTACGTATTTATTCTTCTAATTAGTCACAGTCAGACAGTTTGTGATTCGTGTAATCCAATAATGTCTGAAAACAATGAAATAAAATGTGAAAAACGTAAAAAGTAATATGGGATTCTCCGCAGATAAAAAAGTAGCAAATCCTGTTAATGTAATAACATCAATAAAAACATGACATTTGTCTGTTAGTTTAAAATAGCTTATAGGAATTTACCATATTTGTAACTGATGATGTAATATAAACATAACAGTTTTGTGAACTTTATGACATGTAGTCATTTTGATTTATAATTAGATGTTACATCCCTGATGATGATAGGACGGTTACATTATTCAGCAGTTTGGATTAGCTACTCATTTGACATTTTATTATATTTTAAAGAGTTATTACAACAAACAGTAGATTTAACACCATTATCATTATATAGCTTAATATCTACAAAAAGTAATCGAGGGAAAGAAATAATAACCACCTTTCCTCCATCTTCATTTAAGTTATTAACAGTAGAAGATCTATAGGTACACACACATAAATGGGTGGAATATTAAATAACATAAAAGTGTGAGGATATATATCTATATATGTATTTGTGTATAGAGACATAATGGTGGAAGAAGTATTCTGATCCTTTACTAAGTAAAAGTGGAAATACCATAGTCTAGTACAAAAGTAGATCAATGTATCAAAAATATGTATAATGCAGAAACACACCTTCCTTTTAGAGTGTTATTATGAATACTACATTCAAAATAAATTGTATTATTGCATTATTATTACTCCTAATGCAAGTTTTAGGTACTCTACAGGTTAGTTTAAAGCATTGCATCATATTTTATACACGTTTTGTATGTAAAATCTTAATCTGAAAAGTAATTTGTATAGGTGTCAAATAAATGCAGTAGAGTAAAAAGTACAATATTTCCCTCTAGTACAAAGTAGTATAAAATAGTATAAAATAATATAGTTTAAAATACTCTTAAGTACAAGTGCTGGTATTTGTATACTGCTTCAATCATTAAGAGGAGTATAACACTTGTGTATACCTGCAAACATTTAAAAAGCTTTTAAACACTGTTGCTGAATCAGTAGTGCCCCCTGCTGGCGACATCGGTGGACTACCAGACTGCTGGACAGTGCGAGTAAAAAATAAACAATAATACCGGCTGTAAATAATTCAGGAGAATTTTATTATTTCTGGAAGTTACAGAGATACAAGAGGGAGATAAAAGAGCAGAGATTATGCTATCAAGTAATTGGAATTATTGTTGTTGTTGTTCAAGGATGGAATCTGAACCACCCCAATAAACAGTTGATGCCATCATTTAATTATTGAATTTTGATGAGTTTTTATTGATATATCATATCAATTATTTTTAATCCATTGGTGAATTTATAGAATTGTTAGCCTCCTGATATATAATATAAAACAGTAACAATGATTTCCAAGACTCCTCTACACTTGAGTTACCAACAGGCAGAAGAAAAATAGCACCAATAAAGCATGAATGATGCAACAAATGCACATAAAAGTCAAAGTTTTTTCATTTCATTTTCCACGTGCAAGTTCAGGAAGTAGTACTCAAAGTACTCAAATCCGTTACGTAACCGTGGATCATATTTCTAATAAACTAATAATGTGTTTTCTTTGTAAAATCTTCATTTGAAAACTAACTATAGGTCTTAAATAAATGTAGTAAAGTAAAAAGAATATTTTTTTGTGAATTATAGTGCAAAGCACAAGTGCCTCAAAATTGTACTTAAGTACAGTACCAGAGTACCTTCCACCACTGCTGAGAGGATAGTGCATAAGATGACAGAAATGGAAATAGTGAGATGATAACATGTCGATGTTAGGACTCATCATCTCCTCTGCAGATTTTTAGCAGTCTTTTCATAATTCCCATTGCAATCTGACTGAAACAAAACAGAATTTTTTATCAAAACTTCAATTGACGTTTTCATGTCTCCAGACTTCTCGCTGTGCTTTTATGATTTTATATATGACGTCTTCCTTTTAAAGCTGCCTGTTGCTGTAAACTGTAAACAAGTGAGTAGTTGGTAGTTTGAAGATGAAAGTAAAGTAGAAGTGTCGAGCAAACGACACGAGTGCCTACAGTGTGAGTTCCAAGGAGGAACGCAGATTTCTTCTTTTTTTTTGGGGGGGGCCTCAGGTAGACCTCAGGGGTTAGTTAATCGTCTCCTCCACAGATGGCCTTCACACAGTCCCCGTGGTCGCCCCCCAGATCTGACTGGAGGACACAAGCAAAGAGAAAAGTGTCTTCCCACCGCACTGACCAGTAGAGCAGGTGATTTTCAGTTCTAATGGAATTTTACTTGTCCTTTTAGGGTTTTCATTTTTAATTATACTTTTTATGTGGAAAAAACACATGAGACGCACATTATTGTTCCAAGCAGACTATTTGTATATGCCCTAATACATGGAGGGTTAATTTTCTATAAAGATAAGCATTTATCTTATAATATATGGATAGTAAACCCTGGAGTCACTTATTAAAGCCTGATGAGAAATTACACTGAAGCTAGTGGAACAGCAGCTGGCCTCTGAAGGTTTGTGTGAGCGCCAACTGATGGCTGGTTACTTGTCAGAGCGGCTGGATGTGGGTTGTAATTTACTGCCTTTTTATATTTTGTTTCTTGGGCTGCAACAGGTAGGTGTTGTCTTTTTCAAATCTCTAAAAAATGTTCTCAGTACAGGAGGCCAAACCCACCTGAGCAACGACACGATGCAAAATAAAGCAGAAAACACACAGACAACATTTACCCTAGGTATACAGCAGGGTGTTCTTTACTGACCCATCCCTCACCAATAAATTGTTTTATTGAAAGTTAATAAAATCCCATCAAATGTTAGTTAAAGATTAATTGTGTCTAATATGAAGAGACGTTCAGGCACAGCTCTGGTTATCTCGTAGATGAGTCTTTTTGTCTCGGTGCAGTCTTTGTGTGTCTCAGAGGACCTTTTGGCTCTGACATTATTCATATGTATCTGGCTTCACTCGCCAAATGAAATCACGCTGTTGTCAATTTTGGTCAGTGAAATTATTCTTCAAACTCTGATGACTCATAAATCTACAGAGGCCAGAACAAAATAAGGTCAGGCTTCAGAGTCAGTCAAATCCTCTGATCACACTTCATTTTTAGGGAATTTATGTTGCTGCACGCTGTGTGTAGACAAACTCCATGCAAGGATGCTATTACTGAAATGTACTGGGATAAAGCTAGTACAACGGATTATTACTTAAAGTAGAATAAAGTCATATCATGGGACCAAAGGTGCAGAGTATCATTATTATCAAGTAAAGCAGCTCCTTACGTCGATTGCAGAGTGCAGTGAGTACTCGTACAGTTTCTTGAACTCGGCTCGGATGTCCAGCAGGTCAATCTCAGACCGACTCACCATGATCCGGTTCAGAGTTGACTCATCCGTTCCACCACCCTGACCACGAAATCGGCAGTGAAGACACACACAAGCAGCTATCCTTGTTAGGACATTCCATTGACTACATTCATTATGGACAGCCTAACTCAAACCCTTACCCTAATTAACTTAACCTCAAGGACTACTGGTCCCGGGTCAGAGGGCAATAACACATTTTCCCCTAAATCACGTACAGCATTTATCCTGCCTTTATCTTACATTTTACTTTTCACAACTACCATTGGGGTAGTATCATTGAGAGGGAGTTCTAAGTGTTGAGGCTTAAAATGTCCAAATAACCGCTTCTGTATAAGTACAGTAATAATTCAACAGTGATACTGCTCAGCTACAAAAGGAAGACATTTCTTTTAAAACTCTCTGCTGAACAGCTTCATATTATGGGCTGCACTTCATTCGGTTAACATATCCACGTTGTTATGAACTAGATATTGTTTATTGCTGTCCATTTGTACAATGATCTGCAACTGTGAGCATATGTAATACAAAGTGTATATTCACCTTCATGCTCTCATACAGGCGCTCTGCAAAGTAGGCAGGCACGCTCTTCACACATTTCACTTGAGGAGAAACAACAATGTGGTTAAAACAGTATACAAAATGGAGTTTATCTTTTCCTAGCAGAGAAAGAGAAATCGATTTTACAGTTTTGTTGCTCAATATTTATTACATATCATTCTATAAAGCCACAGTCAACAGTTTTCAAATATCTAAAAGACAGTAACTCTTTACATGGGAATATTCACTACATGACCAGAAGTATGTGGACACGCTACCATTACTCCAATATGTGATTGTTGAACATGTAATTCCAAAAACATGGGCAGTGATATCCGCACTCTTCTGTAAAGACTTTGCATGTTTTGTTACTATACTGTACTAATATATATATACACACACACACTATACTACTACATTAGTTCTAAACAGCATAGTAATAAGCACAGTAACCTACCGATAGCCACCAGCAGTTCCTCAAGCTCCCCTGACATCTCTCCTTCAATGCTTTGCTGCAGAGTCTTTCCACTGATGTTTTTGTATTCAACAAGAGCTACACACAAAAAAACAAAGAAAAAGTCTCACTTTACATTTCAAGTTATTCCAAATTGACCATAATTTCTAGAACTTTATTTAAGACAATGTGTATTGAGCACGGTGTACTTTGTCTCAGCTGAGGTATACTTCTTTGGCAGAGGATGTCAACAAATTTAGATTCATCCGTGCCCCACTTCTTCTCCCCGGCATCATAAAGACTCTGGGTATTGAAAAAAATCAAATGGTTAAGAATATATTTACCATAAAGAGATACAATTACAGAATATATCTAAACATTTTCCCTATGAAACAAATTCAAACATGCGTCATACTGCACCTTGGCGTCTTCTTTTGCCTGCTCTGTATTTACTGTGGTGCCGTCGTCCCTCTTGCCCTGGAAACAAAATCAAAACCTTAATTTAAATAACATCACACTCATTTGTATACTGTTGTGCAGACAAGCATTGTTCAAACCAACAGAACGTGTTTATTCCCCACATTGTTTAGTAACTGACTGTTGAAAAGATGAATATGGTGAATGGACTTATTGTTTTGTACCTGCACAGTTTACTGTCACCATTATAGATAGGCGTGGTTAGTTTAGTCATGTTTGTTTTCCCACCTTTTCTTTCTTTCTATTAAAACTATTATTTTAATTTCACCTTATTTTTTACCTTTAACATTTACGTATTTATTTACTCTATCCCGCAGGGGAAAAGATTAAAAAGGGAAGGAAATGTGATATGTGATATGTAAATGTAACTAGGTTCCTATAAGGATTTATAAAAAAAAAAAGAACTTGTTCATTTCATCCAGACTGAGAGGTACTGTAGGTTTTACTCCATCATCTCTCCAAGTAACTCATTTGATCATTTTTATTCACTCATTTCTTCATATTGTATGTCAGTACAATATAGTAGTGGATATAATTCTAGAGAGATAACACTGTTCACAGTTTTCTTTTATATTGTAATGACAAACTTCAGCCAGGAGGAGCAGCGCTTTGGAAAAGTCTCCGGAAACTTCCTCCTTCAGGTCAAGGGTCAACTTCTTCTCCGTTTCTGTGGAGGAAAACATCCAAGACTAACTCACAATTGTGATGTTTGAAAATTAAATAAATCACAAAACAAGAAATTCACACTCAAAAGGCCAGTTCGACCAATGCTTTTGGATTGACTGTCAGCCTCATTACAGAATGAAGGCTGTTTACATTGTTTACCTTGCAAATAGACATCACAGAGAGCTGCGATTTGTTGATTGGATCTGGAGGCAAAGATTTCAATCAGGACGCTGTCTTCTGTCCCAGCTCCCTGCAGCATCATCACACAGTTACTATACCACACTGAGCCTGAACTGCCTTTACAGCATCAACAACAATGAGGTTAAACCAAGAGATCAGTGAAAGGCCACATGGAGCTCTGCTTCACTCCAAAATAACACATCCACAAAAAACAAAAAAACATAAATGGACAAAATAAATGCTGAATGGAAATCATGGGATTCAGTTCTACTAACTATAATTTGATTGTTTAATTTAGTTTAATTTGTATATGAAAATGAGTCTGTGTGCCTGAATATTAACCTTTTTAATTGTTTACACTAGGAAACAAAATTAATCATAAACACACTAAAGATTACCTAATCATCACTTGATTTACATAAATTTCACAGTACAGTGTATTGCTAAATGTCATAGTTCCTTTTTCCCAGCTGTACCTTAAATTAACTCGTAAACCCCTCAATCATTAATACAAGGACAAATTGAAGAGCATAATAAACATTAGGGGCTTCACTTTAGTCAGCTGAGAAACTAATTCCATGCATTTAGAATTTTAATACAAAAGGTTAAAGGGATTTTTAAAGTATGGTTATGTGGTAGTGTAAACTCGACTGGACCAAAGTAAGATATTAGTTCAGTTCGACTCTACAAGCTGAATGTAACATATTGTTACAAATATCTTTCTTTCCTCTCATACCAACATTTATTTGTAAATTATAAAATAAAATCAGAGTGAAAACTGACTTTCATTGCCCGCATCACTTCATGGCAGTCGTACACTGCAGGAGGGGTGATGAGCGCCACCAGCAGGTCCTCAAAGTCACCATTGGTGTCCCCTTTCAAGTCCTCCAGTAATGTCTATGACGTAAACACAGCACGTTGGTTTTCCAACCGAAGCACATTCATACTCATGCAACACACAACCACACCCATGCAAATACACCCAGGCCTCTGGCCTACAACCAAACCCAGACCTATTCACACAGACGATAGCTCTGGTTGAAAGATTCACAAATACAAATAATTACAGTTTTTTATGAAAAATATGCCCCACCCCCATGAAATACACACACACACACACACACACACACACACACACAGGTGACACACACATGACAACAGGGGTGATCTTACTCTGCCAGTGGCTTCCTGATAAGCTTCACAGATGAGCTGCCTCTGAGCGCTACTTCTATGGGTCAGAATGTCAATCAGAACATTCTCTTTGGTGCCTGAAACATTTTTTAAGAAGAAACACGAGGAGGTGCATCAGTAAACATGGAAAAGGACACCATAAAAGAAAAATAACAACAAAAGGGAAAATAATGAATAAATAAAATGGAGAGATATTTTTGCTATGTTAACTCCAGCTCTCATTAATCTAAACTTCTGTGCCAGTCATAACATGTGCTTTGAGCTGAATTTGAAAATGTGTCTGTACTGCCCTATAAAGACAGCAGTAACCACTGATGCAGTAAAAGTAAGAAAACCCCTCAACGTTTTGTTTGTCTGGCAAAAACATAACAGAAAGAAAGGATGTTAGGGCAGTATCTTATTTCTATATGCTGAATAAGAACTCAAATCACATTTTTGATTATAGTCCATAGGGATTCAAGCTTATTCTATTTTGCTAGTGTCTGTTTGTCTACTATTAATATTTACATTTCAATCACTAAAATAAATACATTTACAATTTAATTCAATTGATTCAATTTGTTAATTAAAGGTAGCTTAACCACACAAAAGTGCATGACTTCCTCTAGATGAGCTAAGACGGCAGTTAGCGCTGACTACTCGGCTGAGCTAGTTTCCTAGCTGTGTTTTTCCTATCATGATTAAATTTAGCCACTGTCTCATTTAGTTAATGACAAACTCAACATTATATAAAGATAAGATGATTATTCATCAAAATGTATAAGTCATATTTATTCAGTTACATTACAGATAGGGAAATATATAACAGTTAGTACATTTGGTTTTACCTTCAGCTAGGCTAGCCATAGCTGTGGCTATCTCTCTAACTAGCTTTCACTTGTTTTATCTCTCTTCTTATCTCTCTTAACGTTAGCTGTCCAGTTGATTGTCTCTGTGACTACACGCTGTCTCACATTTCTAGGGCATAATAAGTTTTCATATGGCAAACTGATGCCAAAGTTTTCAGTTTGGACCAAATATTACTACTGTTACTGTGTTTTTAGCTTTGTAGGGAAGTGTAGCAACATAATGAGCTAATGTTAGCACGCTAACATCCCTACACATACTGTAATGTGGCTAACAGCTATTTGATGTTTAGCTACATTATTACGTTTTAACAGCTAACAATTAGCATGTTAACATTCTAATATCAAGTTTTTAACATGTTCATAATTAAATACAAAAATTTAACTAGCATCAATGGTAGTGCACAATACAGTTCATGATTCTGTGCTGTGTTTTAAGGTTAGTTACTTATCTAGATAGCTTGTTCAGTTTTGCTTCTTTGAGTGTCTACAAAAGTGCACCAAATGAAAATGTTTATTATATATAATGACTATAATTATCATTACATTTAGTATATTAGTATTGTATGCATACTGTGTTAAACTCAAAATACAACAAAGACTGGTGGTATTTGGTTAGTTTTGTCATGTCATTTGTCTGTCATGTTCATTAGTGTATCCTGGAGAGACTATCTTCATACATTATGGTGGGTGTGTGTGTGTGTGTGTGTGGGTATTTGTACCAAGTCCTTCAATGGCCTTCCTCAGAGCCCCAGCATCGTCTCCTGCATCAAAGTTAGCTTTAGGCTTGATGGTTCCTCTCTCTCCAGTCTGAAGAACACAGTGACATCCATCGCTCAGTTTGTTTGGTTTTTCGCTCTCTTTTGTTATTTGTGCAAAAATATATGTCACAGAAAGCCTGAAGTCAGTGTAAAGATTCAGTCGGACTTACTTTTGCTGAGAAAGAGGAAGGGGTATTCACAAGACTGTCCAAGTCATCCTGCAAAATGTTCATCAGCCCTGTTTAAAATCTATGATCAGTCACAGCGTTATCATAAACATAAGAACAGAGAACATGGCTTACCCATAAAGACGTCATGATGACAACAAGAAGTTCCTCTGTTGAAAAAGCAAATACACATTCACAGTTAAACGTTCTTGTTGTTTTATCCTTTTAATGGTGAACACCTCTATTCTCAACGTATTCTCACCAAACTACTGCCATTAAAAAGCACACATTTGAAAGTGTACATAGAATGACTTTACAATAGCAATCTTTTGTGTTTATTACGCACTACTGTGTCAGTTTTCCCTAGTTCTAATCTAATGTCCTGTATGATTTATTAAAGTAAGAGGGCACAAAAGGGAAGAAGTGTCGCAATAAAATTATTCTTTGACTTCACTTAACTTGACCACTGACAATTATTAGACTGGTGATTAGTCGAAGCCTTGAGAATAAAGTCAGAACTCTGATGTTGTTCTTTTGTCCCCAAATTTACTCTCAGTTCATTGCTAATTTTTCAAAATATAGCCTAACTGTGCTGCTGGGACATCTGGAGATTTTGAGGCAGGTACATGAAAACTGAAATCTTTACAAATAAAAAAACAGAGTAATCAAGTCAAGTTTATTGCTGATTCTTTTGTCTAAATTCTAAAGTTCAATCAACTCTGTCCAGCTGTAAGTTACTGAAATTGTGACCTTAAAGCACTTTTGGGTATTTTCTTTTTTATAGGATGTGGATATATGATGTCTCACAGTAGCTGTACAATATCTCACTGGCATGTCTGTGTGGCATCTGTCAAAATGTACCACAGGATTTAACATCCTTGTCATGTGGACACATCTATATTTACCTATTTGATCAGCTGTTCTGATGAATGTAAAGTAAATGAACCTTTCAGACTCAGTGAAGCCTCATTACTGCAACCAGCTGCATTCTTATATCGCTTTCAAAATGTAACACAGAAAAATAAAATCAAGAACTACTTTTTAATTGATCTGGACATAATCAAACTGTAAACTTGATATCCTAGACCAATAAAGAAGTAAAGACACCAGAGGAGATTTAAACATATCCCAGAGGATTCACAGCTTACTCCCTACAGGAAGACTACTGGGATTTGTTTAGTGATACAACAGCAAATAAAAAACATCATTAAATATGATGAACTTGCTGTGAAATTTAAAATAAACAATACAGATCAACAGCAACACTTCCTTAAGTGAGCATAATGAAATACAGAAAGCTTTGTTCAGGTAATGAAGGGTTCATGAGAAAATCAATCCTCTGTGTACACACTTCTGCTTTAAACTATTAACTCTGCTTCTCCAAAGAATAATATATTACTACATTAACAGTCCAACACAAAATAAATGCACTAAAAGATAAGAACTGAGTTAAAGAAACCACGGAAAAGCTCACCTGGATTTTGTTCTGAACCGGAAAAGCGTTTCCTCCACACCTTCAATCTCTGTGGACACTGACTCTACCTGAGTCATCTGACCACGCCCATTCTGTGCAGGCAGGTGCTGCCTTCAGGGACGGCTCGTTTATTTCACATAATGTAGAAGGCCTGCTTCTGATATAAAGAGAAACTATATAATTTCTTATTATCTGTTGCCCCATCCAGTTTTACATCACCCATCAGATTTATATGGCTTTCTTCTGTTTTAAAGGTATGGGGCATTTTTTCATCTTTTTATTTTTACTTGTTCTGTTTCATGAACTTGTTGCTTCAACTGGTCATGCGTTTTGTAAACTTTATGATCATTTCTAGTGGCATGTTTTCTGACCAGTCCAACATGTTGGTCCAGACTGAAATGTCTCATTGGATAGATTCCTGACATTTACTCACCACTGTGTATCTTTGATGTCTGACACACAAGTCAAGTGCGTTTCCACCCTCATAAAAGAGTTGCAAAGCCAATTCTTTTTCGTATTTTAAATTGTTTGCATCCATATTTACTAGTTTGCAGTCTTTGTGCATCCATCAACCTCAGCTGCACTTGCAGTGCAAATTAGCAGATGTTAATGCTAACCCACTAAACTAAGATGGTCAACCTAGTGAACATTACACCTGCTTAACATCAACATGGTAGCATTGTCTTTGTGAGCTTGTTATCATCCATGCATTAGCTCATATCACTACCTCAAAGTGGTGCTCACTGTTATTGTATTGTCAAGTGTCAACTTTCTCTGTTCCAGAACATCCCATCCCATTTAGATTAGCAACACTAGGAAATGCCACAAACACTGACACTCCACATGCACATCACATGTACAAAAATGTTAAAATATTTGTAAAAATTCTTATCTTACAATCTTATTTAATACATTAACTGAAAAGAATCAAAAATAATAAACATGAAATACGGAACAATTGTGGGTTTCAGCATTTTTTATTACTAAAAAGGCACCAAATACAGGCATCATGTTGATAGCATTGTAGGTATTTTTCACAAAATGATAGCACCAAAAATATATTGTTATTTCCCATAATTTCCTGTTCCCGTGTTGTTTTGATAGGCACAGAGTTGAAAAACAGGAGTTGGGATCGGAGAGACAAATGGAGAGAAACATGTCAACATCTCACGAGAAAAAATTGTTTTCTTTTACAGTGCTCTCCAACCAGTGTCATACACTTATTACAAAAAATTACAGTAACTTTAACATCATAGGTACATCAGTAGCTGAGCGTAACATAATACATCATAAGAGGGTAACATAATAATACATAAATGAGAAAAAAAAGAAAATTGAGCGAGATGTGAGTCCGTGTAAATAAAAGTGATGGATTTTGTGTCTTTGGGTGGAAAGAAGGCAGGTAGACACACATCTCTTAAAAATACATCATTTAAAAAATGATTATTTTCGTTAGAACAGTAGTAAGGCTAATGCACTCAGTCATGTGGACGGGATCGAAACCTTTGTTGTCCAAACGGTGGTGTCTGGTTTATTACAATCACATGGAAATTTTCTTACTCTTGAAAAAGAAAAAAAAACACTTTGGATGATTAGTTTTGAAATTCATGAGGAAAAATACTGCATGGCACTTAATATTGGCAGCTGTGTGTACAGTACAAACAAAAAAATATGTTTTTGTGTTGAAACAAGAATAATTATCTGTTTGTTCAACTTGACAGTACAAATGTCTCTAAGTAAGGCTTGAAATACACATTTTTTTAAAATGCAAATAAAGTTCCTGCTCATGAGGGAAGGATTAACAAAAGCTATGGCATAATTGCACTTGAATAGGTATCATTCATTTTTGTTATTATTTACACTCTGCACTCATTCGCCCTTGAGCGATAGCAGCACACTCTATGTGCTTAATACTTTCACAGCAGTCAGAAGCAGCTGTAGCCGGTGTACAAGTCACTCCACAGGAAAATTCAACTTTGTTCTGTTTAATCAGAGTTTTTTGAGTTAATTTATCAGCAGAAACAGTGAATGATAAAGATATATGCAGAAAAGGAGGACTTCTACACTGGCTACCACTCTATAGTAGTGGCATTTAGTAGCAGTGAAATGACTCAATGCAGCAGAGAAGTGTTTTTGTCAAACAATCACCAGTGTCTGAGCTACCAGTCACCATCTTGGTGCTAAAAAGGACGTAAATGTCAAGTTAAACAGTAATGAAATGGACAGCAGTTTCAGATAGAGTTTGGATGATCAGATGCAGATGTTTTGGCGGTTTCACGCAGCTGAGTGGTTTTGTGGATTCCTGAGGTAGCCCAGTTGCAAAATGATTAAAACTCTGCGTAGCTTTCTGCACGTCTCACTCTTCCCTTTTTCAAAGTGGTATAAAAATACATTAACAAACATCTCGTTCCTTAAGTACAAACTTTCTTTTAGAAAATACCTTTTTTTCCGTACTACTCCTCCTCTCCATCTCCTCCTCTCCTACTCTTCCTCACCAGTGTTTCAGACCTCAGTGCCGTCATTGAGGTTGTTGTGGAGTTTGACCTCCAGGTTGACCTGTTTGACCTTGGCCTTGCCGTTGGGCTCCTGGTTGCGGTTGAGGATGTTGACGTTCCTCACGGTGCAGTGTTTGGTGCTGAAGTTCTTCTCCACACACTTGTCCATGCACACCTCCACCTTGGTGTTGAGCGGATACTCCTCGTACACTTTCTGAGCCTTCTTGCTCTTCTTCTTGGCCGACCGTCGGCAGCGGCGGAACAGGAAGCAGGAGGCCAGCAGGACCAGGACCAGAAGGGTCACGGCGGCCACTCCCCCGCCCACTGAACTGCCCACGTGGGCGTTAAAGGTGGCAGAGGGCCCGGCCTCCAGACGGAGCGACTTCATGTTGGTACCGTTCTTCACCTGGTCGCCCTCGTTGTCATAGATCAGTGACTCGTCCAGCGTCAGGCGCCCGCTGCGATCCACCAGGTCACGCTTAGGGCGGCTCAGCTCATACGTCACCGAGCGCTGAATCCTGGGACTGGACCGCGACTCTGGGCTGATCACGTATATCACCTGCAGGTACCACTGGTGACCCGCCTCCACCTGTCAATCAACAAAGAGAAAGAAGGAAGGCGTTAGCTACTGTACTGAATGAAAGTGCCCTTTATTTCTGGAACCAGGATTCAACTGAATTCTACTTTTAAAAATCACATGATAAAGACTTTTTGTTTTGACATCTAACTGCCTGTTAAATTACTAGAACAACATTAGATATATTAGATAGTACTCCATAGCATTGCACTCCTAGTATACTGTCAGACTCAGTATAATAATACAAATCGATGCATTAAATCAGACAAAAAAGGGCGCCTAGTTTACCCACAATGCAATTAGACTGCTGACAGTTCCATTCAGAGATTCTGTGTTATGCTAGTAGCAACTTATGTAGCCTTGAGCTGCTGGCCTTCAGCAGAGATGGGGACCATTCATTTTCTTGTAGTCTTCCAACCCAGCTGATGCTGACTCAAACACTTTGGGACATTTATGATTACTTTTATATCTGAATCAGACTTGTCTCATTTGCTTGTCTGACTGCCACCAATGACTTTTAATTAGGTAACATTTTTATGCCATCAGCAATATCTCTGATTGGTGGAATCTCATAGAAGATAGTGGGAAGTTAGTGATAAAAGAAGCTAAATATTTCTCAAGAATTAAGCTAAAATCTGCTATTTCAAAGTGTGTGAGCTTTTAGCAGTTTAATTCCCTATGAAAAATACATCTATATGGAACTGAATTCAGGAAGCAAATGTTTAGAGCTACGTCCATCAAATCACTCAGGGGGTGAACAAGACCAAATATCTCACAACATCAACACTGTAATAATATATGACACAGATGAAATGCAGGTGGTTCTACACACCTTGTAGAGAGCATCAACCTTCATTGTAAAGCCATCAACACCCGGCATGGCTGTCATGGACTGCAGATCTGGGATGTCTGAGGCTAAGTGAGCCTCGAAGGGAACATCGTGGAAAAATTTGTCACATACGTCAGGTTGTTTACGATCCTGGAAAAGAAAATAATCAGAGCACTTTAAATTAAACTTATGTTCCCAAGAAAGCCACGTTGATTCTGTTTCCATAAGTAGGGAGTTACAAATGATTTTGAAGTTCAACCAATGGCTGTACATTCAAGACATTGTGTGACATTTGAGAAAGAATTGCCTGCAATACAGTGTAGATGCAGGACATATGCATTAAAGTACAGTTCCTCAGCTGCTGACACAGTGCAGTATTTCTGCTACACATAATAATGGTTTGTTAACGACAATTTACATGGTGAAGAATGTCAGTGATTTAAATAAACCACAGGCTTTGAATATCTCCGAAGAAACCTGGTCCCATCCCACTGAGAAGTGGGACGGGTCAGACTGGTGTGGCAGTTAAAAAAAAGGAAGATCTATATGTGTTTGCGTGTTTGTGTGTGCATTAGCCTGCTGTGTACAGGCATAACATTTGATCATATTTTGTAACATGTCTGTCCATTTTAAAATAAATAAACTATTTGTATTTTTGCTGTTTCCTTTTAATACTCTTAATAACTGCACATCTGCTGTGTCCATTTCACATTCCAGCAGGGAGCGAGAACAGTTTTTCTGTTCAGACCCAGAGCAACACACAAACTGTTTTTATTATATTCATGAGAACCATTTTAGTTGTTAAGTAATTAAGTTTTATCCTTCTTTTTCCCAGCCTTTACTTGTTTAAACAGACCTTCAGATAATGAGCAGGTTTCGCATAATAGCTAGAGCGAGAACACTGGTTCTTGGGTGGCTAATTGGTAACAGTCTGAATCCTTAAAATGTTTGTATTTAATATTTAATAATGACCTTGGTAATATTTCCCCCCAGGTAGGTATTCATAACATGCATTTTGAATAAATATTTGTACCAGCAGTAGGAAGCGATGTTTGAGGTGCTTGTTGGGCTGGATGCAGCCGTACTGTGGCCCCTCGTTGTACAGCGTCCCTGTGGGATCAAAAAAGGGAACATATCCGTCCCTT